GGTTGATTCCAATCAGATATTTGATTTCCCAATCAGGTTTGTATAAGAACTTGATGTCGTTAAGTCTTAATAAGCGTGATAATTAGATCTTATTAATAACTAGCTTAAACTACCAGGCGTTGCCCGGGCTTCTTATTAGTAGAACATTTAAGATTGTCACAAAGTATCAAGAGCATGAAATAAGGGGAAGGGGTGGCGTGTCTCCAGATTTAATGGTAGCCTATACTTTCCGCAGAGTTCTGGAAAGTAATTATTTGATTCAGATCGATCAAAGGATTTAGAAGTTAACAGAGAACATGAAGATAGACGTTCCATTATATAGATTAAGATCCACAATAACATTGCCTGTGTAAACCAGATAACTGATTGACTATGGGATCAACTTCTAGTCGGCAGGAGCTGTTTAACGCGGACAAGTTGAGTCAAGATAGATTTTCCTCCAGATAGAGCGGTCTCCTCTAATCAAGTGACAAATGCAAATTATTACTTAAGGTAGGGCTACGGTTCCGCCTCGAGTCTTCGTTGAACAACACAACGGATAACAGAGTGGTCCACTGTGTTTGACGGTAATATCTGCAAGATTCTGTTGTTCATCGCTCTTTGCGTCATACTCTTTGCGTACATTGAACGTCAAGTAACTCCACCGGGTATCCCGAGATTTATGAGCTGACGCCACTCCATGCGAATACACCGTAATACACCGAGTACGCCGAGATCCGAAATCCTTTAAGGTGCTCCCCCTCCTCCTTCTATCCTGTCTCCTTCTACCCGCAGTAGCGGGTAACGAAGGCACTGAGGCGTTGCATTTAATCCAACGACGGCGGAACGAGACGCTACACAGCATCCTGGCGAGCATTCGCGCGTTTCCCCGTCGGCGAGTTTAATCCGTCGTTTGCAAATCCGCTGCGCCAATCTTTCAGCGGGACGAACGAGGGCGACTCTTTCCGCGGGACCGAGACTCTCGGCTTCTCGCCCGCAGATCTGCTGCCAGCGGCTTTTTCGCCGCCTGGTGAAAACAAACGTTCCGAACAATAACGATGAGGAATCCCCTCTTTTTCTCTCTCTCTCTCTCTCTTTCGCTTTCTCTCTCGAGGGGCGCAAATCAATATCCAAGATTGAGGGCGTCGATACAATCCACGCGCGAAAGCTGGCGGTCTCGCTCGCCCCCGCCCCGTCGCTCCTCCTCCGCGAATACTCTGCTTCCTAATATCCGCGCAATAGAATAACGGTAAAGCGCGGGAGCACTTCCGCGAAAGCTCGGGGAAGGATCCGCGGGCTCTATGGCGACGCTTTTAGACACGCGCGGAGCGTCCTATTCAACGTTCTATTCTTCGCGGCTCATTTAAAGAAACGGAAATGTAAAGTCAGTTTGTTATTTTGGAGCGGGGGACCCCGCGACAGTCGTGCGGTCCTTACGCTTGAACAAATGGATCGTGCATCTCGTATCCGCAGGGTGGAACGCGCGTCCTACTTCAACGGCGATATAGCACAATGTAGTTGCAATTAAAGACTCGGCTGCCACGTATAGTATTTCGTGAATCCGCGGCTCCATGCCATTTTCCAGGTCATAAGCGCTCGCGCTGCCTTTCTAGGTTTCGTAAAAATCCGAAACCAGTTTATTTCTCTAAGGAGACGGAAAAACAGGGAGGGAGGGAGGGAGAAAAGGAGGCGAATGGGGAAAACGGAGACGAAGAAAAAAGCGCGTGTTCCAACGTGACGAGTTGGCACTCGGCTTCGAGATACCAGGACATAATGTCGCGAAGGCCGCCACTGACAACGAGTGTTTGCCAGGCCGCGCCTTAATTGTCGAACCGGCACACCCCTGGCAAACACCGTCCATCATACATACGCCATGACGGCCCTAAGGCCCGAGCCTTTTTCGCTCGCGCTACCGTCCCTCCTAAAAGTAGATTCTCATCAAGGTGAAGCCTCGACCACGCGAAACGCTAACGTCGCGTCGGGATGACGTTGCGTCAGGATGAGGTTGAACCTCATCCTCGTATGTGCGTGCGTGCGCGCGCGCGCGTGTGTGTGTGTGTGTGTGTGTGCCGGTGCCGGTGCGTCCGACTCCGCGATACATCACACACGTGTCTGACGTCCGCAGATCAGATTTCGCACAACGTAACGCGCCTCTATCATGCGAGTGGATGGATGGACGAACGAATGACAGATATCATCGGGGGATGAAAGCCCCGAGTCGAAATGTTAGTTCTACTTTCCACTTGAAGTTTCTAACATCTGCATATTTTGAAAAATCAATGTATATTCAATATACATGAAAGTTGAAGTCCTATATAGAGAGAAAAAATGTTAGATTTGTCTGATTTATCTGTGTATACACTAAGAAAAAAATATATTAAATTTCAAAAAATGTTTGGATACGACTGTGAACATATTTGTTTAAATTAAATAATTATTTTCTAAAATAAGAAGTTTTAAATACAAGTTTCTTTCTTTGATTTTAGAAAATAATTACTTAATTTAAACAAATATGTTCACAGCCGTATCCAAACAAACGTTTTTTGAAATTTCACAAATTTTTTGTAGTAATTATTTATATTAATTATTATAATAATTACTATAATTACTATAATATTAATTACTATAATTACTATAATATTAATTACTATAATTTATAGTAATTATTTATTTGTGTGCTTATATAGTTACAAGTACCAAAAACTTTTTTCTCGGTGTATGTCGCGCCTCTAAATGGCAGAAAACGCATAAAATGACACTTGTAGGTTTCAAAGAGTATCTGCCGACAAAGTTAGTAGGTTAAATAGAATCAAAAGAGGTTGGCACAAGCTTCAGAGTATCAAAGTAAACGTTAAATGATACATTGAGGTCGAAAGGAGGATCAAAACTTTGGCTCGTGACCGGCCGGCCGGCCCGTATGTATCGGCGACACGGCGGTGCCCCAATGATTTTCGATAATCGATAGCGAAATTGCTAATTCACGGCTTTGGATATCTGTTTCGTTGGATGCATCCGCGCCCATGACAATGTAAAATTGATTGCGACGAGATACACGCGCGCACGACCGGTTGCGTAAAACAGACCGTTAAACGGATTTTATATTTATGTCCTACATCTGAAATAGAATCGGACTAATTTGTGCGAATTTGGACGGTCATAACGATGATTCCCATTTGCAGCGCTCCGTGATAAAACTCTGCGTTTTATTTTCGTGTCAGTAATTTCAATATTAACCGCAAACAACGTTGAGAAATATCGTTTTACGTTCGTTTTCGATAATTTAATAGCATAACAAATCAACTTTGACGAATTTTCGTAATACGAGAGAGAGCGTCGCGCGCGCAATTGAAAGCCTCGTATTTCAATTTCAACTTAATTACGCGAACTAGTGAGAGAGAGAGAGAGAGAGAGAGAGAGAGAGAGAGAGAGAGAGAGAGAGAGAGAG